AATTGCTAATCTAATGATAAACAATTTAAACCATCCACATACATATAATTGATTGAACAGAAAATTATAACAGTTCATCAATTAACATCCATAACACGATATAATGATAAATATAATTATAACTGAGCATATTATACTAGAATGCTAAAAATACCTCCATACTAGTCCAGTTCGTTTGCTAAAATAAAACTAACAACTAAAATTCCTACAACTCCTGACAGCATGTAATTTAGTATCTAAAGTTCATGATGTTCATAACCATATCCTAAACTAACCTTTCTGTCTTTCATTAAATTATATATATAATTTATATAACATCCCAAAAGTAATTTCCATAACAATCCGTTTAAATTGCTAAAGCAAACTATCAACTTAAATCTTCTTCCTTCCTTGACAACACGCATAGTATATTTTTATATTTCATGATGTCCACAACCATAGCCTAAACCAACATTCTTAGGCTTTAAACATGTAATATATATCATTTAAGAACCCCCAAGTAAGTTTCATAATTATCTTTTAACCCCTAGAGTAGCGAAAAGTATCAAAAATACCCTTGTAGGGGTATTTTGGCAAGGGAGCCGGCTCCCCCTTCCTGGAAACCTTGAAACTTGCCTTTAGGTTTTAGTTTGAAACCTTTCAACGTCGTCTCTAAATTCTCCGACGACGGTCGACTATCGGTAAACCTCCTACTGCTCAGTTCCAATCCCATAAGACATAATCATGAAGTGTTGTGGTAAATATAGTGGGTGCCTCAAACAAATTGAAAATAGGCAACAAAGTAGAATCAATGAAACAGATAAGGTGAAATTTTTACTTTTCTTGTTAGTTGTAATTTTAATTTTTATACATCTAATTTTGTTTCATATCATTTTATAGGTTTTTCAAGCAAAAAGTTTGTATTATGCAAATGAGAAGAAACATTTTTCTTTGGATCACTGTTGGGCAATCTTGGAACATGCCATTAAGTGAGAAGATTGGGGATCCTCCAAAAAGTCAAAGTCTCCTACAATGACCCCATATTCCTCTTCCGCATCCCAAATTCCCGAGATGCCCATTTCTCTCGATTCCGATCAAGATCCAACCGGAAAATCTGTTATCTCCCCAAGAACCAAAAGGCCTAGTGGAAGGAAAGCTGCAAAAGAAGCAGGTAGGAAAAATAAGATAGTAGATACTTCAGACACTCGTTTTTGTGATTTGATGGAAAAATTTAACGAAAATACAACTGAGGATAGAATGAAGAAATTTGAAATAGAAGAAAGAAAAGTTAAAATAATGGAGCAAATGAATCAAAGGGAGCAAAAAGAGAAAGAAGACAAGGAAAAATAGAGAGATGATAAGATTATGATGATGAACCTTTCCAACATGGACCCTCAGGGGAAAGTTTATTACCAGCTGTGCAAGAATGAGATTCTTGCCAAACTACAAGCATGCTCAACAAACTTTAATTATTATGTTCCTCTTCCTCCATCTCCATTGTGAAGGACACGTGAAGATGTGATTTCACTTTTGCAACTAGTTGTCGCCGTTTTGTATAAATAGGTTGTCAAAAACAAATCTTTGGATTTGGAGGGGATGCGTGGCCTTATTTAGGGTTCATTTTGTGTAAATCAGAACTATTTAGTGTTCTTTTTGTGTAAATTAGAACTGTTTAGTGTTCCTTTGTTTCAATAAGGGAAAAAAAATTTAGTTTAAGTCAGCTATTTTTACTTAAAGCATGCCATTTTTTGTTTTTGTTTTTTGTTTTTGTAGGATATGCATGATTTCTCGTTCAATGTTTTAGTACATATATGCATCATTTCCTGTTCAATGTTTGGAAAAACCTTTGTTTATAGCACCTCAAATTGGTTTTAATCAAGTTCATGAACTATGGATATTTCATTGATTTTTTATTTTATTTATTTTTAATAAGGTAAACAAGCCAAATATTTTTATTTATTTTTAACAAGGCAAAGAAGTCAAATATATATATTTATTTATTTTTAATATGGCAAACAAGCTAAATAAAATACAAATACTCACAATGTCTACAATTTGACTTGGAATGTGGCTAATATTAATGTTACTGATACAAATATGAATAGTGGGAATGATAGTTGAAAAAGAATAGTGGTTGTGTCAAAAAATAGCATTTTGCATGAAATGCACTGTTGGAGCATAATTGTTGAAATGTAACATTGACATTGTAGCACCCGTCAAAATATAGATTTGGTATGCGAAAATGGCTTTTAGCATTGGAGATGCTCTAAGATTGAGAAAATAGAAGTAGAAATAAGTTGAAAGGTAGATAATAGAGATGGGTTAGATGTGATGAATGATGATAGAAGTTGGGGTATTTATAAAAGAGAAGTGATTTTAAAATTTTTAATTTAAATTTTTTTTTAATAAAGTTTAAAAAATTTAAATTAAAATTTTTTTTAAAAAAAATTATAGACGTTAAGTCAGCCAAACAGTGCCTTAACGGCCAAATACACTATTTGTAATACACATTTAAAATTTAAAGCAATTTTTTTTTTTTTTTTTTTCAAAAACAAATTTTAAGGGAAAAAAACAAAAAAAAAAAAGGTTTTTTATTTTGGCCCAAGTAAAATGTTTTTTTTTTTTTTGACAAACAATGCTTAAACAATATATTTTTTATTTAATAAATTTTATTTTATTTATATTTTTTAAAAATGAGCTCAAAATAACCTATTTTTAAGGTTTTTAAAAAAACAACCATTTTGCCAACAGTGCCTTAAGGCAATGTTCAGCATTGTTCTTGACCGTTTGAAAGGGGAAAAAAAAAAAAAGTTTAACTAAAACGTCGCCGTTTTGGTCAAGGAAAAAATAAAAAAAATAATATAGCGATCGGGCTCGACATTGAGGTTTTCGCGATCCGGCTCGCGATCCAAAGTAGGCCCCGCCAATTAAGCTAGCCAGCTGCACGGGGTTTGGGCTCCCAAATAGCTAAACAAGGGATTTGGCTAGCCCGCTGCAGATGGCCTAACTAAATCGACCTGTGAGTGGGACTCGCATTATGATAATGTAAAGATATCATTATGATGATGTAAATTTCACTGCTATATACTTAGGGCTTCGTTTGAATATATAGGAGAAAAAAGAAAGGAAATGATAACATTAGTTATGAGCATGTTTGGTTAGATAAGAGAGAAAAGAAAGAAATGGATAATATTCTTGTTTGGATAAAACAAAGAAGAGAAAAGAAAAGAAAAGATAATAATAAAATCTTACCCTTTTATATCTAATCTAAATCAAAAAAGTTGTTTAGCAACCTAAAACTGTATTTAACCAATTATCTAAACGCCGGCCAATTTACTTTTGTTTACCTTAAAAAATGTTTATTTATGCATAATTTCTGCAAGGCCAATTTACTTTTGTTTACCTAAAAACATGTCTATTTAGGCATAATTTATGTGGCAATTCTATTAAGCTAATAAAGTAATTCATCTTCTTCTTTCCATAATTATTATTATTATTATTATTTTTTTTTTTTTGGGTGACAATTCCAGATTTGTAAGCTCTATTAAGAAGGTAATCTTTTGTATATTTCAAAAAATTGTAGGATGGCAGTTCAGTGTGTCATCTAGCGCATGGAAGGTTTGCTTAAGAATTGAATTTTTTATTTTTTAGGTTTTCAAGTAAAAAGTAGTCCGGCCCTCAAATTTCAATTGTTGATAGGCCAAAAACTTGCAATCTATCCATACTAAATTCCCTTCGTTCAAATTCATGTTAAAAATTTGAGGAGATGCAACCTCCCCATTTTAATTCATGGAACTTCAAATAATTTACAGGATTAACGAGAAGGAATAAATAATACTAACAAGTGAAGGACAAAAACAACCCAATCAGGTTATTGGTAGTTCACTAAACAAACAAGCTTGACATCTAAAACCCATGAATGATCAATGCTTCATTTGAAAATTATTTGTCTGTATTTTATATTAGAATATTATGTCACGTTAGAAGATTATTCTACTCTAGATATCTTGTTATGTTATTAGGACTTAAATGAAATAAAAATATTGTGTATCTAATTTTGAAGGCTACATTTGTCACAATGAAAATTTTACTTAACTTGGTGTTTCTTTGGAGGGATTATATTTGAGGGATAGGTATCTCTTCAAATTCTTTCCAATTCTTTTTTTTCTATCTCATTTCTCTCATCCAAACACAATATATATACATTATCCTTCCCTTTATTTTCTTTCCAAATCACTTCATATTATCCAAACAGGGCATGAATTGCATATCATTTTCTATTTTACTAATATTTTAAAATTTAAAGGTAATAAGAAAGATGAAAAGAAACACTTTCTTTTCCCCTAAAACAATTTCAAAAATGAAAAAAAAAAAACAAAAACAACGATTAGTCAGGCCCGTACTACAAAGTAATTGAGTTGCTGGACGTGACTAAGAAATTTTGTATTCAACTTTTTGAAGATGCAAATTCTATTTTATTTGATAAATAATTGTGTTTTGAGAGTTATTGCTTGCATTAAAAAAGAAATAGCCTTTCTCCCGCCACCCACTGGTATAACTAATATATATATACACACACACACACAATATATATAATGACTTTTTCTTAGGTAAGCTCAATCGAACCCAAATCCTGTTACAAATTTGTAATGAACTTTTTTGTGCAGTAAAATTTAAAAGGCAACAATTTTACTTTGTATTGTACTTTTTTGTTCATTAAAATTGAAAAGGCAACAGTTTTACATTGACAATGAAAGGAGGACCGTACACCAATGAATACAACTTTATATAGCAATATATTGTTACATCCTCAATTTAAAATACACATCAAAATAAAGTGTGTTTATATATATATATATATGTATGTATGTATGTATATTGTATATATTGACTACACATCAAAATAAAGTGTGTTATATATATATGTATATAAATATAATTATATATATGTTTATATGTATGTGTATATAGATATCGGGTACCGAAGGGAATCATGAATGAAGTTCAATCAGATGATTTGAGGACAAGTACAATGAGTCCATCTTTTGTATGTGAGATGAGACCACCCATATATAAGTACAGACCTAGTCAGACTAAACCGTCTAACAAGAGAGAGAGAGAGAGAGAGAGAGTGCGCACCTAGAGAACGAGACCATGTACAGCAGCAGCTCACTGCGGAAGAGAGAGAGAGAGTAGGTGGGTGTGTTATCGAATCGAATCAACAATCAGATAACAACACTTCTTTCCGATTCCTCTCGGAAAATCAAATCCCACAAATTCCACCGAAGAAAGAGATGTTTAATCTGCCCTTCTTCGCTCAAGATTCATTCATCAAATGAGCTCATTCTCGACCACAATGCTTGCCATTTATAACCCTAAAACTGGCTCGGACTGTGCAGATTCAGCTTAAGCAGTCGCATCCTGGGTTTCTCTCTCTTCAATTCGCGCTCAAAAACCCTAATAGAGTCCTCTTCACCGATATGTGAAGGTAAAACCCTAAATACCTTTTCTTTATTATTATTATTATTTTTCTGTTTCATGCTTTTGATTATACATCGTTCTGATTGCTGATGAGAAAGTTTGCGGCTGTAGCTTCTCCTTTTGTCCTTGGAAAAGAAAGCTCTTTCAAAATCTGGTACATAAAGGACAATCTTCCAATAAGAAAGTCCTAGCATTGAAATCGAAAATCACTTAGGGTTATACCCATTTTTGTAGCACTCCTTTTCCACGTGGTTCCTTTGAGGTATCGCTCACCCCTTCCATCGATCGATGGTCTCTGTCTGTATGCATGCCTGACGTTATATGCAGTTGTTGTTGTTGATTGAAGATTTCTCTCCCTGAAATTTGATTTGGGTCTGCTTGGTGGTTTTTAACCTTTTTGGCATTTGTCATATTATGTATGCATGTCAGGTACTGATATGAATGGAGAAAGAGCTAGTTTGTCTTGGGTGCGATTTGCCTGTGAAAGTGCCTTCTAAGCTGTATTTGAGAGACTAAGGTTTTTTTCCCTCAAACCAACGGCTGAGTGGGTGCTCTCATGGTGGCAGTACTTCTGCAGTAGCTTTTACCATAGAGAAAAAGTGGGACAATCATGATTGAAAGAGAAAACCACTAGTTGCAATGGTCATAAGCTGTGATTGAAATCGAACTACTGGGTTGGGTGGGTTGGGTAAGCAGTAGAAAGAGTAGAAGAGACCAATTACACACTCGATGGGCTGCTTGTGATAAATCAAGTGTGTGTGGAAATTAAAAATTGATAATTTCAGCTACTGGATGTTCATTTTTATATATATATATATTATGATGGGGAAGCCTATAAATCAATATTTCAAATTTATTTCGTGAAGATAATTATGGTTCAATTAGCTATAATTGGATCTATAGGTGATTTTTTCTTTCTTCAAAGGTTATATTAGGTAATGCATTTGAATATGTTTTTTTTTTTTTTTTTCCTTCCTTTTTTGATGCAAATGTATAGGAAATATGATTAATTGGTTGGCAAAGTTAGTCTAGAGTTCATGATCAATCTGTTTGAGAAGATCTGATGCCTAGTCTATATGTTCCAAAGGAGCATTAATAACGTATGTTTTTAATAATGCATTTCATGTCACTGTTCCATGCTTTAAAAAGTTGGGGAAACTTTTGATTTTAATGAAACAAGAGAAACCAAAGTTTTTGACACTGCAGAATTATTTAAGGGATCCTAAAGATGAAGTTCTAAGATTAATGAATCTAAGAACAGAGGTAGAGAGCACCCAAGTGATCACTTATGAATGATCTCCTAGGACAGGTTCTAAGGTTGAGGAATCCTAATTGGTAATCTAAGGATGGTTCCTAGAACAAAGTACTAAGGTTGGCTGGCCAGGACGACTAAGGTTGGCTAGAAAAGTTGGGCTATTTGGATCGCATAAGGAAAGTAATCTCCGATGAGATTACTAATGCAATTGGTAGATTGGCTTCCTAATGGTTGTTTGGCTTAGGCTGCCTCTAGGTTTCCCAATACTGCTTGTTTGGATTGCTATAGGCGATTAGGTAGTTTGGAAAGAATGATTTTTAAAGCACAAATTGATTCAAGTATGCTTGAATAATTTTGACTTCATATGTATGAATTCAATTTCTTTGTAGAAAATTATTTAACTCTTTTGGTTTAAGGCTCATTTGTTTGTTTGTTTGATTTGTTGGCTACTTGTTTATTAGTTAAATGAATGCATGCATACATATAAATATACTATCAGAGGGCTACGCATAGCCAAACAAATCAAGTCCTTCAAACATTCAGACTTGGTAAAAACAAAGTTCTGAACATGTATCTAATCCCAGCATACATCTACTCCTATCATGCATCTGATCCTCGGCTTCCTAGCAAGCACTTAATCCTAACATGCTTTTAAAACAGAGGAGTACAGAACAAGGAAATCATGCATCCACATAAAACTATCTCAACTCAAACTCGTGCATATGCATCTAAATTAAACTAACATGCTTAGACTGTAAATTAAAGGATTTTGAGAGAGAGAGAGAGAGAGAGAGAGAAATATTGACACATACTTATAAAAAAAAAAAAAGTAGAGATGTTGACACATGATTTTACAAGGTTTGGATAATCTCCACATCCTCGCCTCAAGTTTACATTTGAGGATTCTGAATTCTAATTTTATTGGAGACCCTTCTCGAAGGCAAGGAGCAGAGCCTCCTCACTTTTGAGGATCAGTGGGAACCTTTCTCTCACATGAAGGCCGAGAGCAAGCCTTCTTCCTCTCACATGAAGGCCGAGAGTAAGCTTGGTTCTATCAAATCAGGGCTGAGAATAAGTCCCACCCCTCTCATTGTCTCATGTGAAGGCTAAGAGAGAGACTTTGTGTACAAAGATATGTCTCTACTCAATTGTACAATTCTGTCCAAATACCTAGAGCTAAAACACGAGAGATTTCATTGAAAGCTCAACTCTATGATTTGAAGAATCACAATGAAGAATATGTACGATCAAGCTCAATAGTGGTGCTATCCATGAAAGAATATGAAAATGAAAGCTCATGGTAGAAAATACCAAGTTAGTGTGAAGAAATGAATGCCTATTGGGAGAATCTTCGAATGAAGATATAGAGATATCTTGATCAAACACTCGTGTGATATATGCAAGTGAGAGCACGATTCTCTACACTTCTTCTCAAGTGTATCACCCACCTTCCATAAATCTCTCCATCTCTATATGTATATATGTATTTGTATAAGCAAGAGAGCTGTTGGTAAGATCAGCACAAGGTATATTTATAGCCCCGTTCAAAGATATAGCCGCTAGGCACAATTGAAATCCTTTAGGAATGTTGAACTAGCCGTTTGTGTTTTGGGTTTAGTGCATGAATAGTTGAGTCGCTCAATAGAGCTGTTGACGTGTTCGGCTGGATCAATTAACTCATTCAAGTTGAGGGTTGACTTGAACATGCATTGTTTATGTTCTGCAATATTTGAGAATTGCCGTCAATACCACATAATAAGAAGTGTATATATAGAATCTTTCCTAAAAAGGAGGCTCTTTCTAGCATCAAATTTGCATTGTTGGGAATATTTTCAAAAGTTAGTGTTTGAACTCTCTGGACTAGGGATGGCAATGGGGCAGTTTGGGGTGGGGAACACCATCCCCATCCCCGTTTAGCATAGGTACCCCCATCCCCGCCCAAAACCGTATATTAAACGGGGCGGGGTGGGGACAAGTTTTGTAGAGTATTTTCGTAATTGTATTACGAATCTAATGAAAATAAATAATGAAACAAAATTTCAACTATAGTAATAATTAATTTTGTCTTATGCGGGATAAAAGCAAGATTCAACTTCTTAATTGGAACTTGAGACTTAATATTATTGTAGGAACATCAAATAATACATAGAAGTTCTCAAATAAGAATAATACAAAAAGATATTTAGTGATTGGAATAGAATAAACTAGGATATGCTTTTTATATATATATATATATATATATATAATATTATTGAATATGAAATAAAGTATAAGGACAAAATTGTAATTTATCGCTATAAACAGGGGCGGCGCGGCGCGGCGCGGTGGTGACCTTTCCCCATCCTCACCCCATAACTATGCGGGTTTTCAATCATAACCCCCATCCCCGCCCCCAAAACCATTTAACCACCCCTATAACCGTTCTAAACGAGGCGGGTATTTGACATCCCTAGTCTGGACAGTGCAAGTTTACAGATAAAAGGATTCAGTCAGCTGACTTAAAAGTCAACTTTTGGTCATCTCAGCTTTTTGAATGCAAGTCGACCTTGACATTTTGAATGCAAGTCGAGTGACACCATGTCAAGGTCCATTCAGATTTCAGAAAGCTCAAGCAAGCAGTTCCATTGGAATGTTTGATTCGACTTAAGCTCATTGGAGTTTAGTCAAGGCACAATTCCGTTCCATCTCTCTTTAGGACTTTAGAGGATATATGATAAAATCAAGACCATTATCATGTTTTAAGAATCAAATTGATTCAAGGTCTTTGACTAATCTATTTGTGAATATTAAGAGTTAAAAGTGATGCAGGCTGGGGTAGGGGTGCTTCGACATCAAAATTCAAGGAGAATAAGAAAGGGAATGAGAGAGAGGAGAGAAGAATGAGGGGGAAGAAATCATTGTAATCTCAATATATTCAATAATAAATCATAAAAGGTACCTTTCACAATGTATGAACCAATATATGAATAGGCATCAAGGACCCTAATAAAATCCTACTACCATGAATCAAACTCTAAAATACTAAGTTGTTTTTTTTTGGATAAGTAAAAAATATATTAGAAAAGCGTTCAAAAGGGAAATGCGAAAGGACCTAAGAACCAATAGCATCCAAAAGATCAAAAAAGTCATCAATCGAGGAGCATGCTCTTCTTCTTACATAACAGAAAAGAGAACGAAGAATATGATTTTTAGATTTGCTAGAGACGATTCCTTTTCTTCAAAATTTCTATTTTTCCTCTCTCGCCATAGACACCACCAAACGCAATGTGGAACAATCCTCTAATAATCACGGGCATGGCCTTGAACTGGGCATCATTTCCATGCGTTAATCAGTTGTAAGGAGTGCTTAGGCATAATCCAATAAACGCCAAACATGCTAAATATGAAATTCCAACAATCGTACGCCACAAGACAATGCATAAGAATGTGATCCACAGATTCTCCGTCTGCTTTGCATTGGCAACACCAATTAACAATGGTGTTACCTCTCTTCCTCAGATTATCCAGTGTCAAAATCTTTCCCAGTGTGGCAGTCCAAACAAAAAATGCAATTCTAAGAGGAGCTTTAGAACACCAAATAGACTTCCATGGGAAGTCGTGACCAATGAAATTGGACAAACAAAAGAACATGGATCGGACACCATACCTACCATGTGTTAACGGGACCCACAAAATATCGTCACACCTTTTGCCAATATCCTTTTGTCTGTACAGCATATCCAAAAAAACACATGCCTCTTCCATCTCCCAATCCTGAAAGGATAACAATCAAGTACATAGATGTGCTTATTATCAGTAATACTGTAAAGTCTAAGAAAGGAGTGAGACAACAACTGATCTCCGCACCATAGGTCCTCCCAAAATCGAACATGCCTACTATCACGAGCCTTAAATCTAATATGTGTGGAGAAAACATCCCAACCCTTCCGAATGAATTTCCACACTCCAATGCCTCCCGAAACAGAGACTGGACGGGAGGACCAACCCCCACTCTCCTCTCCAAAGCAACACGAAACAAGTCTTTGCCACTGGCCATGTCGTTCCTTGCCAAATCTCTATAACCACTTCCTCAAAAGAGCTCTATTAAAAGGGACCAGCTTACGAATGCCTAGACCGCCTAATTTCAATGGTTTGCAAACTTGTTCCCAATTAACAAGATGAAACTTAAACTCCTCTCCTCTTCCGCCCCATAGAAAATCCCGCTGAATTTTTTCAATCCTTTCAGCAACTGAACATGGGATTTGAAACAAAGATAAAAAGTAGGTAGGAAGGGACGAGAGAGTGCTCTTAATGGTAGTGACTCCCCCCCACCCCCCCTCGGAAAGATATTGTTTTTTCTAATATGCTAATCTCTTCTCATATTTATTAATCAGCGGATCCCAATTCCCCACTCTCGTAGAGGAAACTCCCAAAGGCAATCCTAAATAAGGAAGAGGAAAACGCCCACTCCACACCTAAGAACTGTAGCTAAGGAGGAAATATCTGGAACATCCCCTACTGGGACAAGCACACTCTTTCCAACATTAATCTTAAGACCAGAAACCGCTTGGAAACAAACAAGAATGCACCTCAAATAACTAAGTTGGGAGGCATCGGCATCACAAAAAACCAAGGTGTCATCCGTGAACAACAAGTGGGAAATCTGCATCTGATGTTCGACATCTCTACCAACTCTGAATCCCCTGAAATAACCCAAATCTTCCACTTTTCTCATTAATATGCTCAATCCCTCCATGACAATAAGGAATAGAAAAGACGATAATGGGTCTCCTTGTCTCAAACCACGCGAACTAGCAAAAAAATCAGCAAGGGAACCATTCAGTAGCACAGAGAACATAACAAATGAAATACAAGTTTCTATCCATTTGATCCACCTATCTCTGAACCCCATCCTCCGAAGTAGATAAAGAAGAAATTTCCAATTAACGTGATCATAGGCTTTCTCGATATCAAGCTTGAATAAAACGCCAGGAACCCCACTCTTCAATCTAGAATTAACACATTCCCCTGCGATAAGAGCAGAATCCAAAATCTGCCGTCCTCCAACAAAAACATTTTGTGATTCTGAAATAAGTCCATCCAAAACAGTAGACGAGAACTTTGGCAATAAGCTTATACATGCATCTCACTAAGCTAATTGACCGAAAGTCCTTAATATCGGAGGCGCCGCCCTTCTTAGGAATAAGGGTGATAAAAGATGCGTTCAATGATTTTTCGAATGTGGTATGAGAATAAAAATCATAAAAGGTGCACATCACATCAGTTCGCACCACCTCCCAACTCTCTATAAGAAACCGCATAGTAAACCCATCTAGTCCCGGAGCTTTATCACCATTGGAGCTAGAAAGTGCATTAAACACTTCCTCTTCAGTGAAAGGAGCCTCAATCCGATCACTATCCAACGCAGAAATAGTATTAAATGGAAGACCATCTAGAGCAGGCCTCCAACCCAAAGTCTCAGTGTAGAGCTGCTGATAAAAAAAAAACAATTCCCCCGCGCACCTCATCCTCTCTGCACAGCTCAAAACCATTCATACGGATACACCCGATGTGATTACATCTTCTATGAGCGTTGGCAAGTCTATGAAAGAATTTTGTATAACGATCGCCTTCTTTTAACCACAATGCCCGAGACTTCTGATGCCACGAAATCTCCTCAATAGCAGCAATCTCGGCAAAATTCGCCTGGCAAGAGGCTCTTCTAGGTGTAAAGACTCCACATCCTGCCCCACCTCAGCAAGCCGATCAAGCTCAGCAATATCAGCAAGAACTCTATTCTTCTTCCATTCAAGATTCCCAAACACTTCTTTGTTCCACTTCTTCAACTCAGTTTTGAGAATCTGAAACTTTCTAGCTAACACGTAGCTAGCTGAGCTTGTAAAACTCGCTTCGTCCCACCAAGACTGGACTTTCCCTTGGAAATCCACAGATCTCAACCACATATTTTCAAAGCGAAAAGCTGTGCGTCTAGATCTCATTCCTCCGCAATCAAGAACTAATGGCACATGATCAGATGTCACTCTAACCAGAATAGCCTGACAAACATCCGGGAAATGCTCCTTCCACTCTCCAGAAATCAGAAATCTATCCAGCTTAGAAAAAGTAACTGGATCCCTGCCATTAGACCAAGTAAGGGCTGTCCCTTCCAATGGCAGGTCAATAAGAAAGTGACTACCAATGAATTATGAAAACTGGGTCATTTCGGAGGACCACCTACCCCCTGTGCACCTCTCAAACGGGGACCTAACAGAATAAAAATCCCCGCCTAAACACCAAGGCAATGACCACAATCCCTTAACGTAGCAAAGCTCTTCCCAAAGGACTGGTCGATCACTATCAATGATAATAATAATATTAAATGAAAATCAACCCTAATTATCTATCTTTGCCATGTCTTTAATAGTAGAGGTGATACACATGCACTTCAAGCTTCCGGGCCTTGTTCGGTTCTCCATCAATCCCTCCTGGTTGAGAAGAACTCTCCTCCGGAGAGTAAATGCAGATGTACAGCTTCAAAAAGTATTGAGTCAATGCAACAAAGCTCGTCGTCTCGACTCCATGTAATATTTGAAGCTGGATAATCTTTCCATCAAGTAAGGTAATACTGAATATCTTCACGATGAGAAGCATCACTCAAAAATATCTTTAATCCATTCTAAATAATGCAGCTGAAAATAGGGAAGAACTAGTGCTGGTGCTGAGTAAAATATAACTCCATCTGTTCCTACACACGCCAATAAAATATCGGGCTCAAAGGTGCCTCGGTCGGACAACAAATACTCCACATCAAAAAATTGAATTAGTACTCGAATCCAGTGACCAGTCAAGAACTATGCATTGGGTCCTGACTTGTGAATGGTGTGGAAAAGTCAACAAATTGAGTGTATTTTAAATGGAAGGAGTCATTAGAATATGGTTGAGGTAGTGCACGGATCTTAACATAAACTGCTTCAATAAAGTCATGATTCATGTGATGAGCATATGCAGTAAGCTCATAATTCTTTTTACTTAATACAATTTCTTGTTGCATATTGGCATGAAAATCATGAATAAGTTGAACAAAGGAATTAAGAAACTCAAGTGAATACATATACGGAGGTGAAGGACATGATCAATGGACTGACATGGAAATGGGTTATAGACAATTTTGAAAGAGCTTGTATATGCATACAAAATTATAGGCAATAACAAGTTCCAATTGTCTAGGTGCACTCTTAACAAGAGAACTAACCAATTTCGCTAGACCTTGCTTCACAACCTCAATTTTCCTATCAGTTAGAGAACAAAATGCACAAGGAATCTTCAATATGTTGTTGAGAATGTCCAAAGTGTCTTTTAGAAATTACTGTTGTACTTGACATCCTTATTTGACACAATGGAGGGGATGACTCATGAAATTTAACCATCTCTTTTTCAAGGCAATATTAGGTGATCTTTTATGTAAATTAATTATTTAGTTTATTCAGTTCAACACGTTCCCTAGGATGTGTGAGATTATGTGTGACATCAGATAAATGTGATCGTGGGATTAAGGCAATAGTGTGTTGCTTACGATCCATGTGTGACAATTAAGCTTGATGTTCATCAAATGTTACATCTTTAATTTCATCCAATTTAGTGCATTTAGGTGGTGGAGAATCCAACACCTCAGATGTGACATAGGGGACTTCCTTAATTACTACTTTTTCTTCTTTTGCCAACACATGTTTGTCATCATTGGGTTGAGAATTTACATATTGTGTTTTAGAATCTTTCATGGTTGCTTTGCAGGTGTTAGCATCTTAGTTTTACCACCATATTTGAAAATGTAAGTTTTATCTCTTCTATAATGAGTAGCACCTACATCGTAAATCCAAGGGCGACTAAGTAGTACGTGGGCTACAGTCGACGGTAAAACATCACACCAAATATTATAAGAATAAACATCCATTTGAATAGGAACTAAACACCTTTCTTTGACAGTCAGGAAAGTTTCATCAACCCAGGATTTTCTATATATGGTTGTGGGTGAGGCTCAGGTTGAAGTTTCATTTTAGCAACACTTGATTTTGACACTACATTTAGTATACTTTCTTCCTCTATAATGATTTTAGAGAACCTTTCTCCACATATGAGATATGTACGAAATATGTTGGTGTGCGTTGAATCATCTTTTTCCCATAAGGGTAAATGGAATGCACATCATGTCATTATTGCGGATCTCATCTTCCATATAAGTTTCCCTAAGGTCTAGTTCTTATCCGATCTTCGAACTAGGCTGGCTCTAATCTTGTATCCAAACAAGGGAAATATGGACCACTTGTATATATATCCTGCTCCCATTCCAAAATGACGGACCAAACCTTTCCCAAATGTTTGTTGGGATGGGTGCGAGGGATGATTGGTTTGTTTGGGGGTCGAGAGTTTCGATTGTTTGAGTTGATAATGGGTTTGAACTAGGGCATTGGTCGAGGGTTTGCTTTTGCTTGTTGTAGAGGGTGAGGTTGTGGTTGGTGGTAATGGGTTTTGTGATAGTGTGGTTAGGGCGTGTTGATTTGGTGTTGGTCTGGGGTTTGTCTGCTATATTGGGTTGCGGTGAGTGTTAAGCAGCGGTGGTGATTATGGGTGGCTACTGGCTAGGGTTTGTTTGGGTAAAGACTAGGGTTTAAGGTTAAAGGGATGAGTGAGGGTGTGTCTCAACTTGGGTAAACAGTAAACTTGAAGAGTGACAATATGACTATGTGCTCTGATATGCTTTGATTGTTGTGCTCGAAATAAAGTTTGAATCTTTTGTTTGATTCCAATTGATGCAAGATGGGGTAGGGGTGCTTCGATATCAAAATTCAATGAGAACAAGAAAGAGAATGAGAGAGGAGAGAAGAATGAGGGGGAAGAAATCATTGTAATCTCAACATATTCGATAATCAATCATAAAAAGGTACCTTTCACAATGTATGAACCAACATATAAATAGGCATCAAGGAAAACCCTAATAAAATTCTACTACCATAATAAAACCCTAAAATACTAAGTTACTAAAATATCCCTAAAATCAACACAAACTAATATAATAATAATATTAAATGAAAATCAACCCTAATTATCTATCTTTGCCATGCATCCAATAGTAGGGCGACACACAATCACTTCAAGCTTTGGGGCCATGTCCAGTTCTCCATCAAAAAGATATTCCACCTTGGAGATCATTTAAAATCACTTGAGGCTTTTCAAGATTGAACAAATAAAGTCCAAAGCCTTATTTAAATCGAGAGACCAGTTCAAAAGTTATGAATTAGGTACATGGTCCTGGTTCATGTTTCCAATAGAGTTCTTCCAAAACTTACAAAGCTTGGACTAATTCAATCTGAGCGAAGGCCTCACGAAGAATTAGAATGAGGTTCAAGGCCAATTGGTAATGGTCCTGGGGACTTGCAAATGATATGAATGATATGCATGATCTTATGATCCTAAATTCCTAAAATCCTAAAGTCCTAAGGTCGAGAGCTGAGCTTTCAAGTTAGATAAATCAAGATTAACCGTACAATAAATCTTATCACTCACCCAATCTTATCTATCCCATATCTTGGTCTTTAATGATGTCCATGGGTCTGACTTGTTCTTGTTCAGCTCATCTTGACTCTACTGCCTCTTTGCTTTTGTGCAGAAGTCTTTGAGTTGACTTCACGGCTTTCAGCTTAATAGGTTTTTTTTCCCTCTCTCTTTAATATCTTTGAGCTTCACATGTGTCATCTATAAGTGCTGGATCCTTGGTCTACGCAATTGATAAACTAACTCGTCATGAGTTTTCCTACATGTTTAACCTGTCTAAACAAACTCAAATAGATATTAAATACCAACACCTTTAATGTGCAATTATCATCAAAATGTTTGAATTACCCTTGGGAAAGAAACCTTTAGGTCAACAGACACTATCTAAAATTTCCAAAATTATAAAACGGCGGAATGATTGTGGGAATATTATCCATACTAGAAAAAATGCAGTGTGGGTGGGTGGGTATGTGTGTATATAATATATATATATATATGTGTGATATAGTAATTAATATTTGTCTTGAAGTTACTTATCAAAAAAAAAATATTTGTCTTGAAGTTAAGGAAGAAAAAAGTGGATCTATTTAAGCTCTTTGGCATTTATTGAAGCTTTTAGGCGTTCAATGAAATTTCTGCAACCTTCTTGAATTCACGGATGATGAAAACATATCAACATTCACCAGAAGTTTTCCAGGATTCTGACTTGGTTTTCATGGAAGTTTGTTGAGATGACATTTGAGGAAACGCGGTCCTTTTTATGATGATTTACAACTTTTTAACAGTAATTAATGCTCATTATAATATTTCGTTAATCAATAGAGTAGATGGAATTTTTTATGCTTTAACTAGTATGGGCAAACTTCTGAAAGACTTCCATTAAAACTGGTTTAGTTCTGGTGAGGTTTTATCACAGCAAAGACCCACCTCTGGTGATTGATTTGCTGCCAATTATGAATTCCAAATTACAAGGGCAATTTCCATTCGTTTTGACCTATGGACGAATATGCTAGTATACATTTCATGCTTGTTTGAGTAATAGCAATGAGATTCCCTAATATCATATGCTAAGAACAGCTAGGATTTCCATCCCTCTTCTAACGAACCCGTTTTTAATGAACCCCATTTTTTAAAAATTCTTCTCTACCTTTTCTTTATTGTTATTCCCCACAAACACAATTTAAATAGACAAATTGATTAGGTCAAGTCACATTGCATAGAAATTTCATTATTGGAACACCAGTTATATTTCATTCTGAATTAAGTCATAAGAATGGACAAATCCTAAACAAGTATGAATTGGAAATTCAGGTGTGTCGACAAAGTAAAGAACGCAACAACAATCTGGAGAAATACATTTACATGGCAGCACAAGCACCTACATCCACGGAATTAGAAAAGAAGTAATTTACAAACAATGGAAGAGGTTACTATAAGAGAGGTTCATATACTTGTCTTTACAAAAATGGTGTAAAATCTTACACTCTCATCTCTTACAACTATAATGATTTCATAGTATTTTACACTCTCGAAACACCATAAGAACAAACCCGACTTGGAAGATACCTGTGAAGGAAGATCAGGACTTGGTGTAAAATTCTTTCTTGTCTTGAAATTTGTATTCACTTATGACTTAACAAGTAAAAAGGAAACTATCTAGAGTTACTAAATTTAATAACCCTCTTCGGTGGATTACAATGGGTGACTCTCTAGTCTCTCCACATATCAAGTCAATGAAAATGGGACACCCCCTTCCCCCCACCCCCACCCCCACCCCCACCCCCACCCAAAATAAAAAATAAAAAATGGAACATCAGATAGGAATGCAGATCTCAGTCATCATACAAATCAATAAAAAAGCTTCCCTCATTTTTTTCTCTAATCAAATCAGAAGATGCATTCCTTTTCACAGACGGGTTCAAATGCCCTTCCTCGCCAAAATCATTTGCGCCATGAAACCTTTGGCGCAATACTAGAATAATTTAATAACAAATCAGCAATGTCATTCTCTGCTCAATCTCTTCTATTTGGGGATAAATCCCTATCCAGTCCTTTGTAATACGAGAAAGTATAACCGCGATACCTCTTTTCTTACAATTAGTTAACAGAAAAACGTATTACTCATTTTATGTTGGTTCATAATGAACTTGCAATAATTTGTATTTTGTGGTTTTTATTATTATTCAATTGGTTATCTATTAATATCTCTATCCATATTTGTATCTGTATATATGATATCTCACATTGTTGGATATTGAATTTTGTATGTTGTTTGTTTACCCAGTTCAAAGTGCAGATAAATAATTAAATTATCTGTTTGAGCTTGGTTACATATAATATTTGTTTGTATAGTCATCCATCTCTGCGTGTATGTGTGTGTGCATCATGCCATTTTATCATGACTAACTCGTACTTCTCTCCCTTTCTCCTTCATTTTTCTCTGTACCATCATGCCGTTCTTATCTACTTTATTCCTAATTGGTTTCATGTCTCATCTGTGTTATATGAACTATGAAATTTAAATTATCGTAATTTCTGGATGCTTCAATTATTTTTTATGCTTCCTGATATTTGTTTGTTGTATTGCTTAAATACCAAATAAATATAGAGGACTTTTGCGATCTATCAGCTATTGCTTCCAACTTTTGTATATATTCGTGCCTTATTTGTCTTTTTGTTTTAATATTTTTCTTTTATCGTACATGTGTTGCTCAGATACAGATATGAATAGAGAAGAGCTTGGTAACATAATGACTGTAAGAGCAAAACCTGTAGGTGCAGTGTTTTTGAAGAATAATGGCCATAGAGAGGATGAAGGACATTCCAGGCTTGAACCACAAGTGGGTTTGGAGTTTGATTCGGCAGAAGACGCACAGGAGTTCTATAATATGTATGCAACTCAAGTAGGATTCAAAATTAGGATTGGCCAGCTGTACCGATCTAGAGTTGACGGAGCAGTTATTTCTCGAAGATTTGTGTGTTCAAAGGAGGGCTTTCAGACCAATTCAAGAACAGGTTGTCCTGCATTCATAAGAGTACAAAGGCTTGATTCTGGGAAGTGGCTTCTGGCCAATATCAAGAAAGATCACAATCACGATATGGAACTCCCTGGTGAAATTCGTCCATCCCATATACAAAGGAAAGCCCTTCCAGCTCAGAGATCATCACCTGCTGTGTCCTCTAGGACAGGAATCAGAACTTTTGAGGATGAGGATGGACGTCCATCTGCATCTGGTGTCATTGATGCCAAACGCCTCAAAAGGGAAGAAGTGGAAGGAGGAATAAAAGTTGAACCATGCAAAGGTCTCGAATTCAATTCTGCTAATGAAGCATACAAATTTTACTATGTATATGCAGCTAATACAGGTTTCAAAATTCGGATTGGCCAGTTATTTCGTTCGAAACATGATGGGTCAATTACATCTCGAAGATTTGTCTGCTCGAAGGAAGGGCATCAACACCCTTCCAGATTAGGTTGTGGAGCATTCATGAGGATACAGAGACGAGAATCAGGACGGTGGGTGGTTGACCGTCTTCAGAAAGAACACAATCATGAACTCGACTCTCCAATGGATGCTGGTAGAAAAATTGCTGCTTTTAAGGGATTTAGAGAGGAAGCAGGTATTGTGTTGGAGGAAAATATGGATGTACTTGAAACAAATGGTGGTGTCACCCTTGTTAAAAGAGGCCGAGAAAGTAACATTGGAAATGATTGGTATCATTTGCTTCTGGACTATTTTCAGTCTCGGCAAGCAGAAGATACAGGATTCTTTTATGCAATGGAAGTGGATGATGGCAAATGCATGAGTGTTTTCTGGATGGATGGGCGGTCTAGATTTGCTTGCAGTCAGTTTGGGGATGTCGTCATTTTTGATACAACATACAGGAGTAGTGCTTATTTGGTGCCATTTTCTTTGTTCATTGGGGTTAACCACCACAGGCAACCAGTGCTTCTTGGCTGCGCTCTAATTGCTGATGAATCTGAGGAGTCTTTTACTTGGGTGTTTCAGACGTGGCTTAGGGCAACATTGGGGCGCTGTCCTCTGTCTATAATAGCTGATCAAGACAAAGTCATCCAACATGCAATTGCACAAGTTTTTCCTGGGACACATCATCGTTTTTCAGCATGGCAAATGAAGGCAAAAGAACAGCAGAATTTGGGTGCCTTACTTACCATGGATACTGATTTCAAGTTTGAATATGAAACTTGTATTTATCAGAGTCAGACACCTACTGAATTTGACACTGCATGGACTGTGATTGTTGAAAAATATGACCTGAAGGAGAATGCTTGGATAAAGGAAATGTATCGAACGCGTAAAAGTTGGGTTCCATTGTTTACAAGGGGCATGTTCTTTGCAGGCATCCCTATGGATGGAAACATGAAACCAGTTTTTGGTACATTTTTGAATGCCCAAACACCCCTTGATGAATTTGTTTTACGATACGAAAAAGCTCTTGAGCAACTCCGTGAGGAGGAGAGAAAAGAGGATTTTAACTCATTTAACTTGCAAGCTGTTTTACACACAAAAGACCCCATAGAAGACCAATGTAGAAGGCTTTACACAATGACAATGTTCAAAGTGTTTCAGAAAGAGCTTTTAGAATGCTATAGTTATGTGGGGATGAAGATTAATGTAGAAGGTGCTATCAGCAGATATTTGGTGCAGAAGTGTGGGAGTGGGGATGAGAGGAATACTGTTGCATTAAATGCATCAAATCTTAATGTTAGTTGTAGCTGTAAAATGTTTGAATATGAAGGAGTGCTTTGTAGACATGCACTGAAAGTGTTCCAGATAATGAACATAAGGGAGCTTCCATCTCGCTATATATTACACCGTTGGACAAAAAGTGCCAAGTATGGTATTCTACGGGATGTTGAATCAGGAGGTAGTTCTCAAGATTTCAAGGCCCTAATGCTGTGGAGTTTAAGAGAAGAAGCCCGCAACTTCATTGAGGCAGGGGCAGCATCTCTAGAAAGATACAAACTTGCTTTTGAGATCATGCAGGAGGGTAGACGGAATCTTTGTTGGCAAAACTAGAAGTATCTTGTACAAAGGTCAGATGCTTCAGCTTCTTTTTGTTTTTATTTCTCGACACCGAGGCCAGACATCTCTTTAGTGCTAAATTCTGTAGTTTCAAATGCATGTGTAGCTATTTGTTTTTATATTTGGATCGCAACTAGGTTGCGAATGCCTAATCTGGATCCTCTCCAATAGGGAGATATTTTATTATGGAGATCTCAATATTCCTGAACACCATGAAAATCTTGTCTAAGACCAATGGTTGATGGCCCAATTTGCTGGTGCACGAGGCCAAGGGACCATAGATTTTCTGAATTATTCGTATTTAAAATGCCATTTTTACCCTTGTGTTTCTATGAGCTTAACTCAATATAAGATGGCTTGGTCTCTTCCTCCTCCCCAACCCCAAACTGCGGCACACAAACAATAAATAACTTCATTCCTTATCTTTGAGGGAATATAATAGAAGACTGAATACACTACCGAAACCTGTGGAGGTGGTTTAAAATTTTAAGTGGAATACGTGTTAGACCTGGTGGGGGTGCATTAGGTTTAAAATGTTGGGTTGAGGAGACTGCTGAAGAGAAATTGGAATTTTGGGTCTGCTAAGAATGTAATAGTAGAAGATCAAGAGCGAAAATTTCCCTATTTCCTTTGTGATTTCCTCTGCCTTCATTATCAACCATGTGAAGGAAATATGCTTAATTCTACTGTTGGAAAATGTTTTTTTCGACACTATCTTTTCTTTATGATTTTCTCTCTGCATTAACTAAATTAATTACATTCTGTTAACATTTTCTTTTCCTTCATTTTCTAGGCAACCTAAGATAGCTTTAAGTCTGCCTAATGGGGAAAGATGGCCTTTATCAAGTTGGATGTTGGAGACTCCTCAAGACTGCATACTTAGACTGTTAATGTGGGTTAACTTTTTGCAGCTCAGATTGATAGCGAAAACATGCCTACTCACTAGTTTAGCTATCCTTTGTCATTCTCTTGTTCATTTCCCTTTGAAGACTGACTAGTATCCTCTTTTCTGTATATTGTTTGATTATATTTATGGTTCTATTTTCCATGCATATTGCAAAAGAAGTTGATGTTACCAATAAGTCAGTGGCCCAGCGGTACCAGGCCCCTATTTCCCAAAGGAAGGTAAGGGGTTCGAGCCTCGGTGGAGTCGTGTGTGTGAGTACCAACTAGGGAAAAAAAGAAGATTTTGATGTTCAAAAATTGGATGCCTGGTTCTTGGATGCCTTCAGGGGGATGCTCAGATGATTTTATGGAGATGCTTTTACTCCTAGCAGGTAATTGCAACGAGGTTTTCGGATGTCCCCCCAACCACACTTTCGTTGCAGCGTATCTTATTAGATGGGGCTATTTCTTAACCTTTTGTCGAAAGATGAGAAAATTTGCCTTGTTTGAAGTCTCAAAACTGTCTTAATCCACTTCTTATCAGCCACCCTATGCCCTTGAATGGTACTATTGTTTCTCTTGGAGAAAATCTGAATGCTTGCTGGCTCGGCGAGTGTTCAGGCTTCCTGGTTCAAGTAAAAGGAGAACAAAGGAATTGGAACCTTGAAAGAGTTTAGAAAGAAAAAAAATATGCTATTGCCATAACATTCGCCAAGATGAAGTCGGGAATAATGTTGAACCAAGGTTTGCGTGGTTTAGTTTTCTTATAATGGTTATTTCTAAGAGAATTGAAATAGTTTCGAAATTTGTTTCATCGACAGTTTTGTGGAAACTTTTATATGGTGATAGACCTAATTTCACAAGATAGTTTTTGTAGTTCTTTGAAAATTGTTTTATGATTTTGGAGTCCATAAAAACTATTTTTCTTCAAAAAAAAAAAAAAAAAAAAAAAAATAATAATAATTAAAATTTTTTTTTCCTCCTTCCCTTAGAGTTCAAAGAAGTATGATGGACATATTTTCTCATTTCTTTCTTGTTTGGGGTCAAATGGACCATTAATTTATGGTTGAATGAAATTTTGTGGGTTAGATTGGTTTTGAAGTTGGAAGTAAATGTTATGTTTCATTCTTATGTTCAGCTGTTTTTGTTTCTTTGATTTGATAACACCTTCAATATATTGGGAATCATGAAGTGATTGTGATGAAGGTATGCTTCATGATTGCTGTTGTATCTGTTGTGAGACCTCATGTGGCCCATAGCTTTCTAATCAAAACCATCTACATTGTGTGTGAATGAATTCTGAAAAATGATTCCTGAAGAGTTGGGTGTCAACACTGTTGAGTGAGACTTTTCAAGCTAAGTTTGTTGTTGGTTATTGAAATGCTTGTTCTATGACAAGGTTCGTGTTTAATTCTGAACTAAAAATTTAAATAGATATAAAAAAAATATTTAATTTTTAATTACTACTTAGAAAACTGTAGGCTATATATTATCTCCTTTATTTCGATTATAGATTTACACACTCTTGGTACACAATTAAATTTGAAATCCTTCGATTAGGGATGAAATATGACTAATCCCTGCCTAAATTCTACTATTTAGGCACGTGCTGAAAATGTATTCTATCACTTAACACAACCGCAAGCTGATTGGTTATTGTGGGGTGCAGTCTTTCGTAAATGTCAACAATTGGGTCATATGAGAAAGATCTAATTCTTTGGCGTAAACTCTTTTTTCCAAGTTCAATATGTGACCTGTATTGGTCAGTTTACATTGACTTTGTCTGAATTTGTTACACCGCGACTGATACTGCGACTGTGACAGTGACAAATACTGTGAACCATGTCTCAATGTGCTTCTTTCTTGCATGGAAAATTGGATTTGAAGCTTTTACCTAAAAAAAAATTGGCACAAGACTAACACATTTGTTAGAGAGAGAGAGCTGTAAATCACTAAACAAATGACGCAACCAAGAAATTTTGGCTGTAGCAAGAGCAAGTTACCGTTATTCTGCCTCCGTGCTCGATTGAGAAACCATAGATTATTTTTTGGAGCTCCAACTTATCAAGTTGCCATTGAGAAAATGCAATAACTATTGATGAATTTCCTATAAAACGGACATCCAACATAGTCAGCGTCTTAACATTTTTATTATTTAATTTTTTTTGTTTTATCAAGCATCACTATGTTTGACAACCGCACCAAACTCATAAAATTTAGTAGTATTCTCCAATATGATCGATTAGATACAGGTTTAATTAATTACGCAATTTTGAAGAAAGCAAGGATTTAAACAGCTCTAAATTTTCTACATTGTCAATTTAGAGCTTGGAAATTGCTAATTCGAGCCATAGCGCATGATTTATTTTTTTATGATCTTTCACAAATAAAAAAAAAAAAATTTGAAATTGAGCTTAGAATTATTTTATTTTTATTTTTATTTTTTATGATCTTTCACAAATATACATTGAGCTTGAATTTTTTTTTTATGCAGAGGTGTAAGCTAATATGTAACTAATTCGAGATCAATTCAATTTTTCAGACATGAGTTTAAAACAAGTTCAAGAATGAAACTTTTATAATTTGGGTTGCCCTCTTAATTGCACGAAACAATTGTCTATAACCTCTATAGACTATAGGACAATAACACAACAATTAAAAGAACATTGAAAAATAATACAATTGGAACTATCACATGAATATTGAACAACTAATAGATATCACTATGAACTTGGAATATATACAACACAAATCATCTCATCAATAGAATGTTTAACTCCATAATAGAAATTAAGGAAGACAATGATAATATAAATTAAGTCCGCTTATCTCCTCTATCCATCCGTATATCATGTCCAGCATGCCCATTTTTTATGTAAAAAACGAAAAAAAAATTCCATTCCCCACGACTCTATATACATCTTAGATCTTTCGGTAAATTACACTCAAACCTTGATGTTAGGTTATTTTTCAGCTAAATTAACATTTTGGTTTTAGATTTTATTTATATTTGAAGTAAAGGTTTAACATTTCACTTATACCCCCAAATGTCAATTTTTAGTAGGGCCATAGTACTTTTGAGGTGTTAAATGACTATGCTACCCTTTGACCTTCCGTTGACTATTTTTGTAATCAAACTATCCCCAACATACACCTTCCTCTTATTCCTCCTCTTCCTCATACCATCGTCATCCCCAATCACCGGATTCGTAGTTCGACCACCACCACCACACAAAAACTAACTCCTCAAAATTACACACACATATATCTATATAGATATATAAAACAACCAAACATATACACACACACACACACACATATATATATGTATAGATATATACACACAAAATTACACACATATATGTATATAGATATATACACACACATACAAAACAGCCAAACATGGGAGCCAAACAAGGGTCGGCCGGATCGATGATGGGGGTTTGGGTTGTGGATTGGAGGTGGAAGTGGCGGCGGCCGGGCGAGCTCGGAATGGTGGTTGCGATGGCAACCCCAACTCAGCGGTAGAAGAGGCAAAGGTGGTTCACAGCGGCAAGGTTTATGAAGCGGCATCATTAGGAAAATCGGCTTGATCCGAAGTTCACACTACAACACCGATTGCCCATGAACCCAGTTATGATACCCCTCGATTCTAGAGCCACGAGTGATCAAGTCCGAGCACAGATCCGAGGGATACCAAACAATTAATATATAAACGAACACAGATTACAAAATAGATTTACGAAATAAATATTAAAGCTGGAAAGAATACTAAATTTAAAATCCTCCAAATGATAAAGATTAATAAAAATCCAAATCTCCAAAATAGATACAGCTCGGGAATCCATTTAGTGGACCCCTAAAATCTAAACTGAAATAATCAGTTGAAGACAAAATCCTAATTTAGAATATAAAATGAAATCCTACATTATCGGAGGAGTGAGTGTCTGTATTTGCTCTGCACGTCCAAGCTCTAGCCCTATAACTGACAACACCTGAAAAATAAAGGAGTGGGTCAGGTCCATATGCAAGTCCTATTCTACTACGATCCAATCAGAAACCCGATACGCAGATACATCCTAGATAGCTCAACAATATCTAGAATAGTCCATATATATATAATTACACACTATAGGACGCTCACTAGTCCAAGCGGTACGTCTCAGCTTGAGTAGAGATACCATGCAAATCGCACGTACTGTGGTCATGTGTATCTGGACCTACCAGGGAACAGAAACCACCGTCCAGTTATCCATCCCAGGCGATATATGTACCCTAACCATGGTCCTGAGACTCAAGCTCATACCATGGCACCATAACATAAATATATAAAGTCCGTTCAAGGTGTGTCATTCAAAAGGTTTATTGACCTGACACAAAGTTATAAGTAGGACTTAACATTTTGCAGTTAATCCATCTTATTTCAAAATAGGTAGGACTTAGTGTTTGAACTAATCCATCCCCAGTGTGCCACCGTCCCATACCGGTGCATATACATACATATAAGTAGGACTTAACTTTTGTAGTTAATCTAACTTATTTCAGAATAGGTAGGACTTAGTGTTTTCTACTAATCCGTCCCTAGCATAGGTAGGTCTTAGTGTTTTGAACTAAGCCGTCCTTAGTATGCCACCGTCCCATACTGGTGCATACAAACCTCCACATAATAAAATTGATTAAACAGTATTAAGTAATTCATCAATCATACTCCACACTATGCATTAATATAAATTAATACATATATATCAGTATTAGGCATTAAATATAGGGCCTAAAAATAACATTTCAATAATGTAAACTGCTAAAATAATCTAAGCATTTACATTCTCTAACTTGTTCATAAATTGATGCAGTTAAATAGCAAACATATATCAATTGTTAATCCAAACAAAGCATAGATAATTTCAGGTAAATCACTATACTTATAACTCCATCTAAATATGATTCACAGCTTTAAATCATAAATAAAAACAATATCCAATTTACAGTAATAAATTTCTTAACCATAATAGTGCACAACCTACAGGTTTTTCCTCAAGTTCACCCTACTCCATTCCTTAATCAAATTATGAATTGATGTTTCCCTATTGTTTTTACAGGTTTACAACATTCCTACACATGATTTAAAATAGTTTAAACCAAGTAGAAATACCCTGCACCGACCAAA